ATCATAAATTAATTTCACTTGTTCCCAAAGTACTTATTTTTTTGCTTTTATTTGAAGACTTTAATTGAGCAGTTGACAGGGAATATTCTTCTGACAGGTAACGTTCTGAGGTCTGTGATGTTAAACTGAGTTCTGCATTTCGCCAGGTGATAGTCAATAATTGTGCTAGTATTAATAAAAACATTAGATTCCATTCACTGGCTCTCTGTCTTTGAAACCCAGTTCATATGAATGTCAGCTTCTTTGAAACACAGATAATAATAACAATATTGGAAGACTGTGAAAAGAAAACTTCATGTAAAACACTTAGAAAAGTGCATGCCACATGGGCAGGCACATAAGCGGTATTAGTTGTAATATTGTTTCTCTTAAAAAGAATGAGAAGAGGAGAGAAAGGATGGATAGAAGGAGAGGGGTTGATGTAGAAGAAAGAAGAAAGCAGAAGCATGTGGTGGCTACACTACTGAGTTTGTACCTGGGAAGATTTTCCAAGTATAGTTTCTTATAGTTTACACAGTTCTCACTTTCAATGCAATTACAAAATACAGTATGATGTGAGTTTCTCTGAAAATAGTTTTTATCCTTCCTCCCAGGAAGATGCAGTAGAAACTGCTTTCTGCTTTCTTGATTTTGGGGCTTTGCCCTGACTTTTCACCTCCTCTGCATTAGCCAAGCTTCACCTTGGCCTACGGTGAAAAGGCTTGACTACTTCTGTGCTGGCTGTTACGATTCTGATTCATGAGACAGCCCTTTATGCTCCGCCTGGCAAATGTATGTTTCAACATCAGAGCCTGATGTAAAATTTAAACAGACTTAGAAGCCCCTTTATTGTGTAAATTACATATTTTTAAAATTCGTTGATTTTTGTCTAGTTAATTTAACTGTCCTTACTCCAACTTAATAGAAAAAGACCTTGAAGCACCAGCATGACAAAAGTACAATAAACATAGAAGTTCATTTTCAGTAAAACTGGTCTTTCAAGTTTAATAGCCAATAAATATAAACACAGAGTGACAATATTCTCATTACCAGGGTAAGCACACACATAAACCTACCCAGCGGCAATGTAAAAGAAACTTAGAGATAAATATACCTCCTACTTTCACTACACCCAAGCCTTTCTCATCAAGTCTGTCTTTCACTTTGACTTATTATGTCCTACCTTACCACTGCGGTGCCCTGGTAAATTAATTATTTCTAGTGAGAAATAACTTTACATCCACTCTTCAGATAAACCTTTCAATTAAAGAAAATCTAGCAGCAATGTACATTTACATTTCACATGTCACCATTTGCCTGGGGCCCACCTAGCCCTTAATGTGCTGGATCTGTCAGATGTGTGACTGGACATGAAGTTGTGGAGAAGAGCCACGGCCTCGAACTCAAGGAGCTGCTTCCGGTTCCTTGGTGACTGGGCTCTATTGCTATACAGTCAAGGTCACTTTTTGTACTTCCTTTGTGACATGATGTTTTTGATCACATAGAATTCTTTCCATATTTTTCTTTCTGTTCTATGATAATGTGATGAAAATATGAGAATGCTGCTTGCTGCATGTGTTTATGTCATCAGTTAGAACTTCCTTCAGATGAAAGTGTGAAGTTAAGGTGACCTCTGAACTGGAAACCATGTAGCAGGCTCAATTTCTGTGCTTCTCCGAACATAGCTCTCACTCTTGTCAAATATTCCTGCCTTTTTTCAATAATAATTTCTTGTTATTATTGCAGTTATGGTTCTACTAAAACTGTTTTTGTCTCTTTGTCTCATATATATATATATATATATATATATATATATATATATAAAATAAACTTCTCAGCACATATTTACTATGTTATCTTGACAAAACACATATTCTTTGGAACTTACAACTTCCCTAAAGGTCCATGTCATCGAGGCTTGATTCTCAGCCTCAAACTATTGGGAAGTGACAAAAGTTATAAGAGGTGGTGCCAGTGAGAGATCTTTGGGTTAATGGGGACATGCTCTTGCGGAGGAGAGTGAGACACCAATCCCTTCTCTCTTTCACTTCCTGGTCATAAAGTGAGCAGTTTCATTCCACTGCATGCACCCATCCTGATGTGTCACTGGGGCCAAGTAAACATGATGCGCTGTCTCCAAAGTTGTGAGCCAAAATAAACCTTTTCTGTTTTATCTTGAATACTTGCTACAGTCAGGTAAAGCTGACTACTACAGAAAATGTTAATTAACATAATTTAACCTTTGCTTACAGAAATAAGCACCACAAAGTGTTGATTGCTTATGCTAATTGGGAGAGATTCTGGATAAGCTATTTTAAGTGATGTAGGTGGTTTAAATTACTCTATTAAAAAAACACTTCACTTTAGTAATTTTCCTTTTAAATCTGCCTCTAAATTGTTCCATTCTCAATAGTAAAATAAATAGACAAATAGCACTTCATGAAGTGATAGCAATTTATTATCCAGCTCAGAGAAGAAATAAGATTCCATATGTGAAGATCAAGGACGTTACTGTCAATTTTAGAAATTTGATTCCTGTTACCTTTTTATTTGAACATAGATTCAAATTCAACCAAATTTGCAGTCAGAGAAATTGAGGAAATCAATTAAGTTATCTGCAATCACACAGTGTTATTATATTTATCTTCCTTGCTTTTAATTTTTACTAATCTATCATGTACAATATTACACATAACATTTTGTACTCTTCATTTTTATACATATTTCCTTATGTCAGCTGAACTTTCATACTTCTTATAGCAATAAAGCATTTTGGAAATTTCACTGTTTAAACTGTTTAGGGGCTGGGGATTTAGCTCAGCGGCAAAAGCGCCTGCCTGGCAAGCACAAGGTCGTGAGTTCAGTTCCCGGTACCGGAGAAAAACCAAAAAATAAAATAAAATAAAATAAACTGTTTAACAATTAACTTCATTCTGTTCTGTTGGGATATGTTAATAATAGTAATAAAAATAAGTACTACTTATTGACTATTTACACCATAAATGATGTATTCAAAGCAACTTTTAACAAAGAAGTTAACAAACCTAGTTTATTATGGGAATACCTAGAATACCTAGATAATACAGGATACAATTCTAGATGATAGAATTGAATAGATTTAGGTTTCTACTGTCTGTGTGATTTTAGTCTAAAGAAAAAAAATCCTTGTTTTTGTTTCTTTTACCTTCCACACCCTCCTCTGAGAAAATAAGGATAGTAATAACTGACCTTATGCCTGTCACTGAGTCTGGCACACAGCAGATGTTCGAGAAGAGAGGGAAGACTGTTCCTGGGAACTACTCCTAAAGTTGACTTACCCACATATTTAAAATGCATTTATATGATTTTGCACATATTTCCAGATGGGTCCCTAAGATAATTAAATGTTCAGCGCCACCATAAAATGCTAAGTGCTCGTATTTTGTATTCCAAATCCCCACCACTCTTGCCTTTTTTAAAAAATCTATTTCTTTCAACATGCTTTCAGTGCAGGAGTGCTGAAGTTGCTGTTATATCCACCACAGGTTGCAACTGGCATGAAGGAGGTACCATCTATTGAACAAGGAAATATGTATAAAAATGCAGAGTGCAAGAGTCAGCAGCATCCTGTGTGGCTCCCACTACCAGCCCAGTCACTGTGAAGGAGTATGAATAGTTGTGCATTTCTTCTGCATGTCTGTCTTCCCACGAAACTAGTCATCTTGATATTTTAATCATATCAGTGAGGATGACCATGATATAGTCTCCTAGAAAAGACAGACATGTAAATAGATAATACTATAAAATGAATTTTAATAATTTTAATCACAAAATGTTATGTCAGTATATGTATTCCCATTGCTGGAAAATAATACCGCATACCCACAATTTAAGGAGGAGAGGGTTATTTTAGGTCACAATTTCAGTGGGTTCAATCCATGTTTGGTTGGCTCCAAGGCAAAAGTAGCATGTTGAAAAGACATGGCTGAGTAAAGCTACTCACCTTATAGCACCCAGGAAGCAGAAAGAGAAGGGAGGAGGCTGGGGATAAGAACGCACCCTTCAGGTCACACTCCCTCGTGAGCTGCTTCCACCCAAGCCACATCTCCTAGGAGCCCTTCAGCTACTGAACTCATCAGTGAATACATCCACTAATGAGTACAGCACACCTGTGATCTAGTCGCCTTTTATAAACAAAAGACTGCAGGAAAACGTTTCATATCTAAACTATAACAGTATATTTATAGTATACAAATGTTTAAAATTGTTCAGAATTTGCTGAGTTAAAAAAAAAAATTAAATGACTATCCATTTACCAGTCATATAGAGAAAACCACAAAGTAAAAAGGTACAGTTTACCAGAGAAAAAAAAACTACTCAGTCAAGTATGGAGCACAGCAGAGATTTGCACTTGACAGTAAACATGAAAGGTAAATTGTCATTAGTGGAACAGGAAGAGAAGTGAGTTGCAGCCAGACATCAGAGAAGATAAGAAGCTGGTAAATATCATGTAACAGGCAGTAGGCTAAACCTGTGCAAATTTTTTCTTACAATTCTCAAAACAACCCTGTTTTAGAGGTGGTAGAAGTAAAGCTTCGTACAATGAGGCAGATGTGCAGAGTCACTCAGTAAGAAAATCTTGGGATTTCTGTTCAGAGCCAAGTTTTCCAGCTCATGTGTATCCTTGCTTCACTCAAAGATGCTTAGCTATCTTCTCATTTATTTGGGTTTAATTTACTTCACTGGTTGAAAATTAATCTTCAGCATTTTGTTCTTTGTTGTGTCACATTTTATTGAGAGCTGTTATTCAGCTATTTGAACTTTCTTCAAAGTCTTTGAACAGTAACTGTTTCCTTCCATGGAAAGCTATTTGTCCCTCTTACTCCTTCTCTGCCTGCACATTGCAGATTATCTTTTACTTGGCTTCTTCATCCATGTACCCAACCTTGCTGCAGCCCCCATTTTGCTCTTAAGTAGGATGGATGGAGTATATTGCAACATGCTTAGAATTTTTTGTTCACTCTTAGCTTCATCTTTCCTAGACCTTCAGCAAGAGTTTGGCACATGGAGGAAGGAAGTCAGAGTCCCAGAGATTGTCTTCAGGAGAACTTCATCCTAACAGGTTGGAAAATTGCAGTTTGTTCATGTTCAGTTTTCTGCACCAGCCTGAGTTCTAGACATGAAGTGTGGCTAACTTGGTCTGCTTTCTGATGCCTCCAAACAAAAAGTGTCACTATCCGGAAAGAACTACTCTACCCTGTGCAGTGCAATATCACTATTGTCTCTGAAACTCTTGGTCCTTTGTTGGAAAAGAGACATAATGACTCCACTTCCTCTAATAATATCTCTTCCAAATTGTGAACTAATAATTCTCTAGACCACAAATTAACAAATGTTTTCTGTGAAAGGTCAGATAGGTTACATAAGACAGTCTTCTGTACCCATAGGATCCACATAAAATAAAAATTCATTTGTAAACTGTAATTTGAAATTCAAATAATATACATAATTCTTTAAATTTGTGTCACAATTTAAAGATTTAAAACCATTCTTCACTCATAGACTACCAGAAGTGGGGTGCATTTGTAGGTTGTATATCCCTGGTCTGGACAGTGCATAGCAGTTTTCCTAGTCCCTGGTTCCTGCAGTATCTACCATAGATGCTGATCTTTTGTATTGTCTCCTATATGTACACAGTCCTCCTCCTTGTGTTCTGTGATGATGGAGGGTATGTAGTGTAGATCCTAGTATATTAGCAAACTAGTATCAAACCTAGAAGTGAAAAGTAAATCCCTCAAAAAATCTCTTTTTGAAACTTTTTCTATTTTTATGAAAACTCTCTAACTGAACTAAACCATACAACTAGTGTATAATTTTTGAATAGATGTATTTGAACTTCATTCAAATGATTTTTCAGATTATTCATTCTACTTTTTCTTCACGAGATTGTGCTGCAAACCAAAAGATAATATTGGCAACTAAATTATAGGCTTGACAAAAGTGTGAATTAAGACCAAAAAAATGATGCCAATGCCTACATTTGTAGCTGCTGTTCATTTATTCATTTACTCAGCAAATATTTATACATGCCAGGCATTGCATCCCAGAGTGAGATCTCACTTTTTATTCATCTTGACATATGAAGAGGAGTAGAATATCATATTTTCATTTAGAGAACCACAGGAGAGAAAAGAACCCGTGAAATAGGTCTTCTTCTAGCACTCCTGATATGTCGCTCATGTTATAGGTCACAAGTAAACATAGGAACAAGTACGAGATACATGTTATACATGATATAGTGAAACAGTGTGTTCTGTGGAGTAGAACTTTAGACCAGTTACTTTACCACCCTGATCCTTGAAATTTGTATAGTATGACAGCTATTGACATTGTGGCTTTCTTGTAAAGACTAAATGAAATTTCATATGCAGGAAGAGTGTAATGCTCAGCACATAAGCCCCAAAATAATTCATATCAGAGGATAAGCTTGGGATTTTTGATCTTGGAAGCAGTTCTAAGAGCCTGAGGGAAGGACTCAGTGCTGCAAAGCCCGGACTCCTGGGATAGATTCCCTACACACTCTGTCTCCCACCTACAGGAAGAAAACCAGCGCAGAGGTTAATTTACTGAGGCCCCAGTGAAGCTGTGGATTAAAACTGAAGAAAGGGAAAACCAGCAATACAAACATAGGTGACCTGTGTCTTCCATCATCTTCCCACACACCAGAATACACTGTGTTCCTGCAGCATTCTACCCATTGCCCACAGCCCAGGGAAACCCCCACCAGAGGCAAATAGAGGCTGAACACTGCAAACTGTGGGCATCATGGATCTTGCTGCCAGGGACATGCAGATCACATCCCAGGAGATGCAGGGGAGGCAGACAGACTCAGTGGAGCTGGGCAAGAATGGACACTTTCTTATTTCACTAAGCACTGGGCAGATCTGAGACAGCATGTAATTCTACCTAGGATTCACCCTGCCATACAGGCAAAGGAGAACCTCTGTTGAGGCTTCGGATTCAGCCAAATGCCACAGTTTGGAAAGCAGAGCTCTTGAGTCAGGATCAAGGGACAGTTAAAAATGAGCACAAAGGAATAGAAAGAGTCCCCTGGAATAAAAAGCTTCTGGTTTTATACTGGGCAGAAGACCTTTGGAGGGTGCAGGGAGATAACTGCGGAATTTTCCCTATAGCAAGGGAAGTGTGAGGTCACTGGTAGAAGTGCACTGAGAACCAGGTGTTGGGCAGCTACTGTATGTCACATCGTCTTCTAACCAAACTAACTGAAGTGGTCAGATCTTTGCACAGAGAGAGAGGTCTGCATTTGACCACGTCCAAAGCGTGCTTTGCAGCCAAGAGGTAACTGGAAAGAGACTGACAGCTCTCATCATTTCCAGGCAGGCAGTAAAGCAATGCACAGAGAGGTAATCAACTTGGCTGACTTCAAGCAGACAATAACTATAGCGAAGAGGGAACCGTGCACACTCGGACTGCATGTAACTAAGTCCAATCCAGTAAAGTCAGGCTGGAGTGGTAGAAAATACATCTTGACAAATAAAGCTAAGATTACATCACTGGAAAACAGAACCTAACTAAAGAGATCTTCGTACTAACAACAAAGTCTCTTCACTTTATTTGACTTCAGTGCTTAGTGCGCACACATGCACACACATACGTACGTATGCAAAAACAAGAATAAGAAAAAACAAAACAATAAAAAGACTCTGAACTCTCCCAAAGCAGATCCAAAGGGCACCAATGGAGAGAAGATCAAACATCAAACTGCTGAGCTGTATAAAATGATTAAAGAGGAAGCAAAGATACTCAGTAAGCTCAAAAATGATATAACCAAAGAGACTGGAATTCACAGTTTGATCTATGTGGTTAAAGAACAGCCAAATAAAATGTTAGAGGGGACAACCAAAATATTTTAAACATGAATGATAATTTCCCCATGCATGCTTGTGTCTGGTAATCAGAACAACTGATCTGAAAACAACAATACGCAGTGTAAGAACCATGCTGAACTCCTACCATCTTGTACGGTGCAGCTCTGCCTCATTTCCAATGCTTTTTTGTGTTACCTGTTATTGACTTTAATCGTTTGATCAATCTAACATTCTTACATCTGGTGGACTGAGCAACTTTGTTGAAGATAGTATTATGTAATGTAGCAACCACTGTTAATTCCTATCATTTTGTTTTCAGGTCATGTATCTTTTGTGTTGTTTTGATTTTGTTGTCATTGTTGTTGTTTTGTTAGATTTTTATCTTTAAAATAAAGAAAAGAAATTGAGTCCATGAGAAGGTGCCAAACAGAAATCCCAAAGAACTGCACTGAATATGTTAACAGCAGAACTGATACATATGAACCAAGAGTCAGACTTTGAGGACATATGAGAAGTACAAGACTATATTTAGAGATACCTTATAAACAATGAGAAAGAAAACAAAATTAATCCAACAGCTACTAGGTGATGAAAAGTCTAACTTAAGATCTATTGGAATTAGAGAAAAATTAGAGGACAGCATGCATGGAATAAAAAAATCTGTTTGAGAAATCATAATTTTTTTTATTATTTTAAAAAT